TATTCGAGGTCTCTTGTGCCTCCATATAAATTTCAGCACCAATTTTTCCAGATCTGAGAAGAAGGTCTTCGGTATCTTGATTGGTATTGCATTGAATGTATAAATTGCTTTTGGGAGAATGGACATTTTGATGATATTGATTCTTCCAATCCATGAGCATGGAAGATTTTTCCATTTCTTGGTATCCTCTTCTATTTCTTTCTTTAAGGTTTTGTAATTTTCATCGTAGAGATCTTTAACGTCCTTGGTTAAGTTTCTTCCAAGGTATTTGATTGTTTTTGTAGTTATTGTGAATGGGATTGATCTTAGAAGTTCTTCCTCAGCCATGGCATTGTCTGTGTATACAAGGGCTGTTGATTTTTGTGCATTGATTTATATCCTGCTACTTTGCCAAAATCTTCTATGAGTTTCAATAGTCTCAGTAGAGTTCTTTGGGTCCCCTAAGTAAAGAATCATATCATCTGCAAAGAGGGATAGTTTGAGTTCTTCCTTCCCAATTTGTATCCCTTTAATTTCTTTTTCTTGCCTAATAGCTCTGGCTAGAACCTCCAGAACTATATTGAATAGCAGTGGTGAGAGTGGACATCCCTGTCTGGTCCCAGATCTCAGTGGAAATGCTTCCAACTTTTCCCCATTCAATAGGATGTTGGCCATGGGTTTTTCATAAATTGCTTTGATTGTATTGAGGAATGTTCCTTCCATACCCAGTTTGCTTAGAGTTTTCATCATGAAAGGGTGTTGTATTTTATCAAATGCTTTCTCAGCATCTATTGAGATAATCATATGGTTTTTCTTCTGCAGTCTGTTAATGTGGTGTATCACATTGATTGTTTTGCGCAGATTGAACCTTCCCTGCATACCAGGGATAAATCCCACTTGGTCTGGGTGGATGATCTTTCTGATGTGTTGTTGCATTCTATTGGCGAGAATTTTATTGAGTATTTTTGCATCTATGTTCATCAGGGATATTGGTCTGTAATTCTCTTTCAGTGCTGCATCTTTTTCCGGCTTAGGAATTAAGGTGATGCTGGCTTCATAGAAAGAATTTGGGAGGATTCCCTCTTCTTCGATTCTGAATAGTTTGAGAAGAATTGGAGTTAGTTGTTCTTTAAATGTCTGGTAGAATTCAGCAGTGAATCCATCTGGTCCTGGGCTTTTCTTTGTTGGGAGGGCCTTTATTACTGTTTCAATTTCTGTCTCAGTTATGGGTCTGTTTAGGTTTTCGATGTCTTCCTGGTTCAATTTAGGTAGGTTGCATGTGTCCAGGAATCTATCCATTTCTGATAGGTTTCCCTGTTTGCTGGCATACAAGTCCTTGTAGTAATTTCTGATGATTCTTTTTATTTCTGTGGTGTCTGTTGTTACGTTTCCTTTTTCATCTCTGATTTTATTGATTTGGGTCTTTTCTCTTCTTTTTTTAGTTAGTTGGGCCAATGGGGTGTCAATTTTGTTTATTTTTTCAAAAAACCAGCTCCTCGTTTGGCTGATTTTTTGTAATGTTTTTCTTGATTCAATCCTGTTGATTTCTTCTCTGATTTTAATTATTTCTCTTCTCCTACTAGATTTGGGTCTGGTTTGCTGTAGGTTTTCTAGATCCTTGAGGTGAATTGAAAGCTCATCTATTTGGTGCCTTTCCAATTTCTTGATGTAGGCACCTATTGATATAAACTTTCCTCTTAACACTGCTTTTGCTGTGTCCCATAAGTTTTGGTATGTTGTGCTGTTATCCTCATTTACTTCCAGAAAGTTTTTGATTTCTCTTTTGATTTCTTCTATGACCCATTGTTCATTCAGGAGCATGTTGTTCAATCTCCATGTGTTTGTGTATGCTCTAGGGATTCCTGAGTTGCTAATTTCCAACTTCATTCCTTTATGGTCTGAGAAGCTGCATGGTATGATTCTAATTCTTTTGAATTTGCTGAGACTTGCTTTATGGCCTAGTATGTGGTCAATCCTAGAGAAGGTTCCATGTACTACTGAGAAGAATGTAAAATCTAGCTGTAGGATTGAAAGTTCTGTATATATCTGTTAGATCCATTTGGGCTATAGTGTCGTTTAAATCTACTGTATCCTTGTTGATCTTCTGTCCTATTGATCTGTCTATTTCTGAGAGTGGAGTATTGAAGTCCCCCAGTACTATTGTATTGGGGTCTAAGTCTCCCTTTAAGTCCGTTAACAAATCTTTTAGATAAACCGGTGCCCTGTAGTTAGGTTCATATACATTGATAATTGTTATATCTTCCTGTTGAATTGATCCCTTAATCATTATGTAGTATCCCTCTTTGTCTCTCTTAACGGTTTTTGTGGTAAAGTTTATGGTGTCTGATATTAAGATGGCTACGCCCGCTCTTTTTTCATTTCTGTTGGCATGGTATATCTTTTTCCAGCCTTTCACTTTCAGTCTGTATGGATCTTTGTTGGAAAGATGTGTTTCTTGTAAGCAGCAAATAGATGGGTTTTGTTCCTTAACCCAATCAGCCAATCGGTGTCTTTTAACTGGACAGTTCAGGCCATTCACGTTCAATGTGACTAATGATAAGTGGTAACTTTGCCCTGCCATTTGCCAAAGATAAGTTCTAATATATGCTTTGAATTCCCTGTGATCTTTTGCTGTGAGCTTTCCTTCCTTGGTTTCCTTCCTTTACCTTCTTTCATATTGATGACCGTGTTTCTTTGTTTCTGTGTGTAACACATCTTTAAGCATGTTTTGCAGGGCTGGACGAGTGGCAACAAATTCTTTCAATTTCTGTTTGCTATGAAAAGTCTTTATTTCACCTTCATTCACAAATGATAACTTTGCAGGATATAATATTCTGGGCTGGCAGTTGTTCTCTCTTAGTACCTGGGCTATATCTCGCCATTCCCTCCTAGCTTGTAGAGTTTCTGATGAGAAGTCAGCTATGAGGCTGATTGGAGATCCTCTGAGAGTAATCTGACGTTTCTCTCTTGCACATTTTAGGATCTTTTCTTTATGTTTCACTGTGGAGAGTTTAATTACAACGTGTCGTGGTGAGGCTCTCTTTTGGTCATGTTTATTAGGGGTTCTGTGAGCTTCCTGTACTAGGATTTCTCTGTCCTCCTCCAAACCTGGGAAATTTTCTGCTAATATCTCACTAAAAAGGCCTTCTAATCCTTTCTCCCTCTCCATGCCTTCAGGAACTCCTAGAACCCGAATGTTGGGTTTTTTAATAGTATCCTGAAGATTCCCGACAATATGTTTTAGATATCTAATTTCCTCTTCTTTTCTTTGGTCTGACTGTATCCTTTCCTGTTCTCTGTCTTCTAAGTCCGATATTCTCTCTTCTGCTTCACCCATTCTGTTTGTAAGACTCTCAACTGTGTTTTTCATTTGATCTATTGAATTCTTCACTTCAGTCACTATCCCAGTTTCCTGTTGTACTAGTTGTTTCGTTTCATTTTGATTCCTCCTTAATATTTCATTTTCACGAGAGAGATTTTCTGTCTTGTCCATTAAGGATTTCTGTAGTTCAAGAATTTGTTTTTGAGAACTTCTTAATGTTCTTATCAATTTTTTGAGATCTGCTTCTTGCATTTCTTCTATGTCATCATCCTCATAATCTTGAATTGGGGTGTCTTTTTCCTTTGAGGGTGTCATGGTGACTTCCTTGTTTTTATTACCTTGGTTTTTGCATTTGTTATTTGGCATATTGGAGATATTTGGTTTCTTCACTGTGGTGCTTTTTCTTGTTATACTATGACTCTAGATTAAGTGGACTATCTGTTTTTGATGGAGCCTTAGGGCTTGAGATGGGTGTGGCCTGAGAGCTCTGTTTGGTGTGCCAAAGGTGACACTCCCAGGTTAGGTGTGGTAAATCTCTCTCTCTCTCTCTCTCTCTTTCTTTTTTTGATTCAAAAGGGAAGTTATTCTGCACAGCTGAACGAAGTTGGAGGTAGTTAGCAGGCAAATGATATACCCACAGGAGCCAGAGATCAGAAGCTCTTTCCCAAGGACCACACAGGAAATCTGTTCGGCCCTCAGAGTGGGCTCAAATTCTCCTTCAGTCTCCCACTGGGTTGCCAAAGTTACGGAATTGTAGCGTCTCTGGAGAGTGCTCACGTGAATTCCGTGAGTTCTCTCCCCCACCGTCTTTTTTCACAGTCTCAGTTCAGTAGCACCACAAATTTACTAGGTCCTAATCTCCTGTTAATTCGCCCCGCCCAGAGTCAGGTTTTTCTGCTAGGCTCAGGGCCGGTGCAGACCTGAGGTCGCTCTGCTTATGACGTATGTCCAAGATGGTGCCTGCTCTTTGTCTTGCTCGCCCTTGAGAGGTGAGCGGAGAGAGAGAAACCCGTGTCTGTACCAGTCACCTTTTTTTTTTTTTTCCTCTCTCTCTCTTCCAGTTAGCCTGGTGAAGTTCCCCCCCCCCACCCCGGGGGTGGTTCCCTCTAGTCTCCTCTCTCCACTTGCCTGCCAGTGTCTCGGGCTATTGAGGTTCGGCTCACCTCGCATTCCAGCGCTGGTGTGTTGAGTCTGCCGCTGGTGTCCCGAACTGTGGGCTCCCACGCTCTCCACGCAGGTCCGCTCCCCTTCCAGCGCTGATGTGTGGACTCGGAGCCCTGGACGTCCCAAGTCTCCCCGCAGTTGTCTGTGTGGCACGCACTCCCCTTTGAGCACTGGCGCGCAGAGCCTGCGGCTTGCGCAGCTCGGTCCCGCGGCTCGGCTTCCGCGCGGTGGGCGACCTTGTTCTCCCAGTAGGTCCTCCGATTCACGGCCACTCAATCCAGAAGAGTTTCCTCTGCAATATTTTCCTGGTTCTTTTTTCTGAGGCTACCGTAACTCCCCTTTTATTAAACTAAATTTTCCCGGACTATCGGAGCGTGCCCTCACTATTCCGCCATCTTCAATTTCTCTCTGTATTTAAGTTCTATATAAGGGCAGACAGATAGCATACAGTATATTCTAAAATATATTCAGTGTTACTTGTTTTTCACTATTTTGATTGTCATATTTTTATGCTTGTATTTAATATTATTTCCAGGTTTCCCTAGAAAGAGAACGACAACATGATCAAACACATGTTCAGAGCCAACTGGAGAAATTGGATCTTCTTGAACAGGAGTATAACAAACTTACTACAATGCAGGCCCTTGCAGAAGTGAGTGAATATATAGTTTACTCATTTATGCTTAGTAATGATTTTAATGTTATTTTATGTCACTGAAAATAGCAGTAAACATGACCTTACTGCAAAGATATGAGTAGGAGTTTTTGAAAAGAACAAATTTGGTGAGAAGGTTCACATTTAGAATATCATTAAGGCTTGTCACTTGGTTTACATTGTTCTCAGAACTAATTTTAGTTTAGTTCCAGATTAAACCTCCATGTAACCTATCTACCTTCATAAGAAAACATATTCTTTGATGATGTAGACTTTACCCATAATCCTGTTCATGTGCCTTTGCAAATGAGTAATACTAATCACCCGGGAAAGTGTTATGGATGTTGTTAAGCATGGTGCCATTACTAGAGTGAACTAAAAAAACTTAAATTTTACCCAAATTTATAATATGTTGCTGTTACTGTATTAAAATTTTACAAAAACATGCCTAAGACTTTGACTGTTATCCCTTTTTTGAACACTAGAAAAAAATGCAAGAGTTGGAAGCGAAACTCCATGAAGAAGAACAGGAAAGAAAACGTATGCAAGCCAAAGCAGCTGAGGTAAGTTTAAATGTGAGTGGGTATGTTTACCACTTCTCCATTGTAAGCAAGCACTTAGAGTTGGGCATCTTGGACTACTTATATTTTAGAATACTCCAATATATACATTCTCAAATATAACGTAATTTGGGAAATGACATGTTTACAGACAAGAATAAAATTTGAACAGTTTGAATCAGCATTTTAGAAACTAAAAGCCTGGGGCTGGAGGAAGCAGTTCTGTGTCTTAGAAGGTTAAGCCTCCGCGTGCAGTGCCCACATACGATATGGGCTCCAGTTCAAGTCCCAGCTTCCCCACTTCCATTTCAACTCTCTGCTGTGACCAGGGGAAGGAGTGGGGGATGGCCCAAGTTCTTGGGCCCCTGCTGCCTACATGGGAGACCTGAAAGTGGCTCCTGGCTTCTGCCCTGGCCGTGGCAGCCATTTTGGGGATGAACCAGCAATGGAAGATCTCTTTTTCTTTCTCTGTATTTCTGCCTTTCAAATAAATTAATTTTTTTAAAAGAAATAAACTAATAGACTGAAAAACAGAGATTCTACACATAGTAATCATGTAAAACTTCTTACCATGGGTCACTAACTGATATTCGAAAGCCTTCATAAAATAACCTGCATATATGGGCTTCTTTTCTTTGATGGCCTCCAAAAACCAGAACAGAGGTTGAGTAATGAGCTACAAACTCAATAGAATACAATTTTTGTGGGGTTTTTTGTTTGTTTTTAACTCATTTTAACAAGTCTTTGCCCTGTGGCCGGGGGGCCATGTAAGGACTGCAGGCAGAATAATTTGGTCTGGCCTTGTGAAGGTAATCATAAGGAGGCCATGAAATTCACCAAATCTATATAGCAGGCAACTAATTTTTAAATTGATAATTTTATATGACGTGCAAGTGACGTAAATGTCCTAATGGTCCTTGGCAGAAAATCGTTCCCCAACCAGGACTTATGCATTTATTTGTTCAAATAATTCCCAAATACTCCTTTGCCTTTCTAGGGTCTTTAAATTTTATAACATTTACATATATATTTTCTCATATCCATGCAAGAAGGGGTTCCCGATTACAAAATAATTATCAGTGGAGCATTGCAGTTCAGTCTTTGGCTAGATACCTTCAGTGTCCTGGGCTCACTTCATATGTGTAATTGCAAGAATATAAACATTTTATCATCTCATATTATCTCATATTATCTGTTTCTTCAAGTACTTCTGTGAATTCATTGACATAATATATTCTGTTAAACCTGACACACTGTTCTAAATATTTACCTTATGAATTTATAAATGTCTATGTTTTTTCCTATCAGTTTGCTTTTTGAGTTATGTAGTCTTTTTTGTTTCTGACCACCATTAGGTTTTTTTGGCTCATTTACATTATGGTAGGCCAGTGTATCTTGCCATTTCCTCACTTGGAATATGCAAGCTTACAGGTTGTGCTTTATATACATACAAGAGCACTACAAATGTTTATAAAGTTCATGGAAAATGGAATTAAAAGAAAGTTTGTTGTGGCACCAAAATTTTTTTTAATCCATGCATAGTTTTTTCTATGCAGTTTTCTGAAGACCCATTCTATATATGCTTGGGTTACAAAAAATGTTTTCAGCATATCAAATTTAACTTTTAATTCCATTTTGAATGAACTTTCTGAAATTCCTTTATATATAAAATACAAAATTTAACAGGGTATTATATTGTGAATTTTTCAAATTCAATTATTATTCATCTTTCATTTAGCTGACAAGAAATAGAAGCAAAACCCATATTGCTGGTGATACATTATCAGTAAAGGTGTTAAGTTCTGATGGTGGATGTTATTGATGGATCAACAGTGGCTAGAGATATGTAATGCCAAGTCTAGCTAATTGTAGTTATAGTCTTGGGCAAGTTAACCATTCGCAGCCTGGATTTTACTGCTCACTAATAATGTGATCTTCATTTCACATCATCTTAGCATGAGGAAATCAAAAGAGATAAAAGACCGTGAAAGCACTGTAAAATGTTAGCACTCTGAAACACAAATATAAGACAACTGTTGTGAAGAAATAAGCTGGAAGAGCAGTTGTTTTCTTGTGTGCTCTTGATACTCACTGGCATCATAAGTCTTCCAGACCTATTATTTGAATCTAGTTAGTTTACTCTGAATAAATTAGCATTGTTGGATGTGTGAGAATATATAGACGCTCTGAAAGCTAGAGAGATATATCCCTTTGTCAGTGCAGTCATTATGGGAAGAATTGGTAACAGTCTTTAAACTTAAGCCATTGGCCCTGAGCGTTTGTTTGAACTCATTACAGTTTCTTTTGGAATACTTCTTTAAAAAAAATTTTCCCAGGGCCGGCACTGTGGCACAGCTGGTTAACGCCCTGGCCTGAAGTGCTGGCATCCCATATGGGCGCCAGTTCAAGTCCCGGCTGTTCCACTTCCAATCCAGTTCTCTGCTATGGCCTAGGAAAGCAGCAGAAGATGGCCCAAGTCCTTGGGCCCCTGCACCCATGTGGGAGACCCGAAAGAAGCTCCTGGCTCCTGGCTCCTGGCTTTGGACAGGCGCAGCTCCGGCCGTTGCAGCCATCTGGGGAGTGAACCATCAGATGGAAGACCTCTCTTCCTCTCTACCTCTCCTCTCTCTGTGTAACTCTGACTTTCAAATAAATAAATCTTTAAAAAAAAATTTCCCAACCTGGAAAAACCAAAAAGTTTAGAGAGTAGTCCAACAACCTGAATTCTTCACGGTAAACTGCAGATGATTTTGATGATTTTTTTATGGGAGATTGAAAGTTGACTTATGAAAAACAGTCCTTTTTTTTTTTTTTCAAATCCTTTGAAAATATGGAATTTGTAACATTAAAAATTGTATATTAATTTTAATGTAGTTACTAAACTTCCAGAAAAAAAGAGGTTGAGAACATGCTGAAATAATTCAGTACTTTTGGGCATAAATTTCTGATTTTTGTGTCGTAATTATATGCATTCTCAAGAGGAAGAAATTTTACACTCTTGACAGATTTGAGCCTGGCACCGTAGGGGATGCCAGTTTTTAAAAAGTAAGAATATTAAAGAATATTAAAGCATCCGTTTGGCATTATATACTGTTTTCAGAAGGTTACTCTTACTGGTTTTTATAGGATTTTAATGACAAATCTCAAATTTGAATCATAGTTTTTATTTCAGCAGCATTAACTTGAGGCATTCATGTTTTTCCTAGTTGCAAACTGGTCTAGAAACAAATAGACTTATCTTGGAAGATAAGACAACTCCATATGTTTCTAGTGCTAGAAGAATTAAAAAAAAGAAGTCAAAACCTCCGGAAAAGGTATGAAATCAAAACCAATCGGGCAAAGTGGCTGATTCTTTGCTTTAGTTTTGTGGAAACAGTCATAAACCATCTAGTACTATATCCCTAGCAGAGTAAATCTTTCTCTTAATTTTTTTTTCATTTGAAAGATGGGAATAGTAGTATCTACTCCTAAGTTTGTCCCCTAAAATTGAAATGATACATATGAAAACATTTGTAACTACAGAAGAGTGGTACAAATACTAGCATTAGTGTCCAATGTTACATTAATTAATCTTGTGCTTTTAAAAATGTTTTAGTTGTATACTGTTGATTTAGAATGGAATTGCTGCTTTATCAGGTAATATTTCCCTACCCACCCCCTTACCTTTCCTAAGCTTGGATATATACTGACAAGTATTAATTAACTACTAGGAACTCCCTCTAGACAATGCCAGGATCAGTAATGGATGTAATAGCCCAGTAGTAAGCTGTGAGTTGAGCTTATTTGTGTATCAGTTTTTATCATCCTGTAATTATTTTATTTAACATTCCTGTTTTCTTTCCATTCAGAAAGGCCCTAGGAACTGCTTCGGTACACAGCCGCACTATAGATTATGCTTGGGTGATATGCCATTTGTAGCTGGAAAGGTGAGTTCATTTAACTTGATATTTTTTGTACAACTTAATACATCTTCTAATTAAATACAGATTTTTGCCTGTATGACTACAAGTGGTGGAAACGTTTGTTTTCTCCCCTACCAGTGTGGATCATGCAAATATAACAATGAGAATGAGATGGGGGAAAGTTGTATGGAATTGGGGGAACAGGGAGGAAATGGGGGGCAGAGCACGTGTTGAGAGTAAGTAGAAAATCACAAAAACCCTGGTTTGATGAGGATACCATAGGGCTTAATGGAAATTTGTAGCATTGGGTTTTTAATTTCAGCTCTGTTGATTTATATTTACAAATGGATAGTTGTATGGATAGATGTCCTCCCCTCCTGATCACACCTAGGACTGATACTCTTAAAGTGTCACACATAGACATCAGTCCTTTCTTCCTTAGAGTGTAGAGATAGTATTTTTGTCAGATAACAGCCTGTGCTGAATGATTGCTAAGAAAAGAAACACATACTTCTTAGAAGTTTCTACTGTTTATAGTATTTTTGTGAACTGTGTGTGCTGTTGGTTGTTTCATGTTTAGATGTCTTGGTACCTAACTAAATTGTCAGTGGTGTGAGAAATGAATGTTCTTTGAATTTTACCTTTGTTAAAGGTTTTTATTTTTTATTTTTTTAATTTTAATCCTCGGGGAAAGCTTGAGGAATGAACAATTTCCACACTTTTCTGTTTGTACTATGTAGATGTGTTCAGTGCAAATCACTTACCAATAATTGGTGCCATTGATGTCATTTCCCCCAAAAATTTAATCTCTTGTTAAATTATAAGCCATCTTTTGACCTGTTTTTTTTTTAAGTTTGTACTCCTAATGAGCTCTTTCTTCTTTTTTCTTTTTTCACCATAGAGTCTTTGTATTTTTAAAGGGTTAATTAACTACAATCAGAATCACTGAGCATGCTTTCTGAAAAATCAGATTATGAAGCCCCACAACAATTCTACTGAGTCAGACTTACCTGGGTGTGGGGTCTAAAAATTGCTTTGGTTTTCCAGTCCCAGTCTGATGTTCACTTAAATTTGGGACTCACTTAGCACCGTTCCCTATTCATTGTTTTCATTCATAAAATTCACTGATGGTCGTTTACTTTGCCTTTGAATATTTCTGCTGATGAGATCTCTTGATACCTTAGATCATCACATTTCTAGACATCTTTATTTGAAAGTTCTTCTTTCAAGTAAGTTGAAGCCTTTCACTTAATAAATTCTACTCATGATCTTTGCTCTTAGGAACCCACAGAACAAATCAGCCCTACAGGAAAATTATTTTGGAACAGAACCTTATTTTTCTTAATTTCTTACTCTAGATTATAAATAAATTTTTCCTTTTTCTTTAGCTGTTCATATTAAATGTGGTCCTTTGTTGAATTTCTTCATCACCTCATCACTCCCTTCCTAAACTGATATAGAATTGTAAATGCGGCATACCTAGCACATAATGGAATCTCTGGCTTATACTAAACTGTCAGCTAATTCAGCCTGACATTGCATTTTCATGGGGAAGAGTACATCATCATCCCTTTCACTCAGTGATTCTAGAATCATTTGAATAGGCCTTTCCCTGAGTCTCTCCTTTGAGTTCTCTGTAGGTACTCTACTCGGGGAGTTGATTTTTATAAACAGATTTTTTTAATCAAATAAAGTTCTCCCGGACTTGATTCATAAAGCCTAGCTCAGGTTTCCATTTTGTGTTGTTTTCTCCAAATGTGATTGCCTAACTGGTAATTCCCAATGAAGTCATTTATACGAGATTGAATAAAACAAAATCAAACCTAGGAATTTTCAACCTGAGCTCTCCTTTTGAAGTTGTTGCTGTTGATTTCTTCTGAGAGGAGGAGCGTGGTGGGGGCAAGAGGCACGGAGTCACCACACAGACCCCGGGAGTCTGGTGAAAGCAGGCCAGAGGCAAGCAGCCCACAGACTTTATTTCAGTTGCTACAGCTGCTTATATAGCCAAGGCAGCCAATCCGGTCAAGGGGGGGGAGTCTATGCCCTAACCAACTTGACTGTTGTCAGTCAGGCTCTGTTGTCATATGGTTTCTGAAGCCATCCAATCACGGCCTGTTGCCAGGCAGTTTCTGTTGTCAGTGGCCATCTTGGCATGACCTTCTCACCTTCTCATTCCACCACAATTTGTATTTTTATGAAAATGTATTTTTATTCTAATAACTTAATGGGCACTTAGATGAATGTTTCTCAAACTGTCATGAAGGATCAATTTTCATTTTTCATTACATACTGTTATAAACCAGTGTATCTGTAAAGTGTAATTAAAATGAATTACTAGGAAATATAGTAGACATACAAATTTAAATTTTAAAATGTTTGTTTTTTAATTTGAGAGACAGGGAGAGAGAGAATTCGTTCCACTGATTCACTCCAGAAATAATTGCAACAGCCAGGGAAAGCTGGGCTCGATTGAAGCCAGGAACCAGGAACTCAATCCAGGTTGCCTACAGGGATGGCAGGGACCCAAGTGCCTGAGCAATCATCTGCTGCCTGCCAGACTGTACATTAGCAGGAAGCTGGAATCATGCCAATGTGAGATATGGACATGTCAAGTTGCACCAAATGCCTGCCTCTGAATGTTATTTAATAGAGAAAAACTCCCATTGCTACTTCACTCCCCAGATGTCTGTAATGGTCTCTGGTTGGGTTCAGAGCCAGGAGCTTATTTCCAGTCTCTGCTTTGAATCCAGGTAGCAAGAACCCAGTCACTTCAGGTATCAGCACTACCCCCAGAGTTTGCTTTAGCAGGAACCCTGGGGTTGAGTGCAGCTGGGCATTGAACCTACGCACTCCAACATGGGACACAAGTATTTTAACTGCCAAGCCAAACTCCTGTCCCCCAGTTGCTCTTTGTTAAATTCAACAGATATAAAATTACAATAATAGAAAAATGATAGGAAAAGGAAAGTGTGCATATAGGCACTTCATATGATGAATACTCATTTGTGAGCAAAACTTTGATTAATTCATTTTGAGATGTTGGGTCAGCATTGAACTCCTCAAATAACTTCTACTTTGATGTGTGTTAGCCCGTCACAAAACACACCAAACACCAGAGTAAGGGAAAGGGTTTATTGGGGAAAACCCAGCAGACCGGAGGGAAGGGGCGAAGAGGGAAAAGGAGAGTAAGAGAGAAAGAGGAGAGAGGGAAGTGAGAGAGGAGAAGAGGAGGCTAGAGAGAGTGGGCAAGATAGAGCGAGGAGAGAAGAGAGTGGAGAGGAGAGCAGACGAGAGGAGCCAAGAGAGCCACTTGTTCAGGAACAGGCCCTTTTAAAGCTTTGCCGGAGGGCTGGCAGGGAAGCAGAAGCAGCAAATCCCATGAGGATGGGGGTGGAGCTTGGCACAGGTAGTTGGGCCATGTGGCTACCTGGCTTTCAGCAATGGCAGCAGTGGGAACCGGGGCATAGGATGTAAATCAGGGTGTAGATCGTGCCATAGATAAGACTGCACCATTTTCCTAACAATGTGTATAATTCTTTTCATTTTTTGCTGTATTTAATTTGCGAATAGAAACTAAAATAAGAACATCTATTCCTCTTAGTGTGATGGTTTCTGAATCTAGCTGGTCAGAATCAACTAGCAGACTTAAAATAAAAATTTCCAAACCATGACCCCACATGGAATCATTTGGAGTGTTGCCTATGAATCTGCATTTTAAACAGGTTGTCTAATGTGCTTGTGGAGCCAAGTAAGGCAGCTTCTGTTTTAAACTGGAATAGCATGTAGAGGTTGTCCTCAAGCCAAAACAAAATTTTTGAGACTACCAGATTACTCTTTTCATTGATGTGACATATACTTAGTACTTCATACTACTCATGAGTACAATAGTAGTCTCTCCTACTTGGAAGTACACTGTAACAGGAAAGATGGATAATATCACAGTATATTTCAATAAATGCTATAAAAGATTTCAAGTGTTATACAGGTGATGTGAGAATGAACCAGTTGTTTATCCAGCAGTTTTTAAAAAGACTTAAATGATGCGTTTGAACTAGATTTTAAAGAATGGTATAAAGGCCGGCGCTGCGGCTCAATAGGCTAATCCTCCGCCTAGTGGCGTCAGCACACCCGGTTCTAGTCCCGAGCGGGGCGCCAGATTCTGTCCTGGTTGCCCCTCTTCCAGGCCAGCTCTCTGCTGTAGCCCGGGAGTGCAGTGGAGGATGGCTCAAGTGCTTGGGCCCTGCACCTGCATGAGAGACCAGGAGAAGCACCTGGCTCCTGGCTTCGGATCAGCGTGGTGCGCCAGCCGTAGCGCACCGGCCACAGCGGCCATTGGAGGGTGAACCAGTGGTAAAAGGAAGACCTTTCTCTCTGTCTCTCTCACTGTCCACTCTGCCTGTCAAAAAAAATAAAATAAAAAGAAGAAGAAGAAGAAGAATGGTATAAAACTTCCACACAAACTACACTAAGTAAATGTTGTCTGCAAATATTTGTTCAGAATGGAGAGAAATTTGGAGTTTGAAACATGAGATCAAGGAGTGTAAGTTGCAGCTCAGTGATGTAGGGCCTTATGTCCAGGGTGAGAATTTGGGACATTATAGTCTGGATTTTACATCAGTGGACTTCAAATAATATCAAAACAATATTTTAGGGCAATAACTGACAGCACTGTGCACTTAGACTGGGAGCAGGAACACAGCAGATTCTTTAATTCATTCTGTAGCTATGTAGGTGAATGCATAAATCAAGTGAATAACAGTAGGTAGAGATATTTCAGAGGTTGACTCTACAGGACTGTTAAGTGATTTACTGTAGACTTGGAGATGTATTTCACAGGTTTGGGGGCACTTATTTTTAGCTCAGGTTAGGGAGTAAAAAGAAAGCAGGTATAGAGGACACAGCTTCATTACAATATCTTTCTTTCTTCAGTCAACTAGTCCTAGCCATGCTGTGGTCGCCAATGTTCAGCATGTCCTGCATCTAATGAAGCAACACAGTAAAGTTCTGTGCAATGATCGAGTAGTCAACAGTGTTCCTTTGGCAAAACAAGTATCATCACGAAGCAGTAAAAGTAAGAAGTCAGTAACCCCTCCCTCCTCCAGCATTAATGAAGAGTTGTCAGAAGTCTTACAGACTTTACAGGATGAATTTGGGCAAATGAGCTTGTGAGTTTTTTATTCTTAAATTACTTTTAGTTCTGAAACTTCTTTGTTCTTTTAGCTTCTTCTATTATCCCTACTCTGTTTATTCAACAAATGTCCATGAGCACAATCCTTTTTCCAGCCTCCCTCCTGGACTTTAACAGATGTAATTGTTAGGGATAAAATCTGTCCCTTTCAGCGCCCCTTGCCAATAGATGCCAGCAGAAAGTAACTCATCGCCCCCCATGTCAGCAGGAAATAGCTCAGATAATCGTCCCTCCACCCATCCTGACTTTTGGGTCTAATGTAATCCCGTACAACTCTTGTTTTTGTTTTATAAAAAACAAACTGGGAGATGTTAGTAAAATGGTGCAGTCTTATCTATGGCACAGTCTACACCATCCTAGGCTCTAACTCCCCCTCCCCTCACTGCCATTGCTGGAAGCCAGGTAACCATATGGCTAAACCACTGATGTCAGCTCTACTCCCACCCTAAAGGAGTTCACTGCTCCTACTTCCCTGCCCGCCCACCCTCCCAGCCCCCAGGGCAAAGGTTTAACAAGACCTGTTCCTGAACATGTGGCTTGCTCTTTATCTTGATCTCTCTCTTTAATGCTCTCTTTGCTTTTCCTTCTTCACTCCTTTCCTCCCGGTCTGTCCAGTTTCCCCCACCAATAAACCGTCTCCCTTAAAAAAAAAAAAAAAAAAAAAAAAAAAAAAAAGTCCCTTGTCTCCCTTTTCTGATACTGGTAAATGTTTTGAAGACTAAGATTTGTACTTAAGGTTTTTTCCTTTTGATAGACAAAAAAGTTCATGGAAAATTGAATTAAAAGGTAAGTTTATTTTGTGCAGGAAAATTTTATGGGCCATGTATAGTTTTCATAACATGCATTTATTTTACAATAACTTTTGGAGACCATGCATAAAATAATTAATTTCAGCTAAACTTGTAATTTATGATGCAGCTTAAGAACAAGGGCCGGCACCATGGCTCACTAGGCTAATCCTCTGCCTGAGGTGCTGGCACCCCTGGTTCTAGTCCCAGTCGGGGCTCCAGATTCTGTCTGGTTGCTCCTCTTCCAGTCCAGCTCTGCTGTGGCCCAGGAAGGCAGTGGAGGATGGCCCAAGTCCTTGGGCCCTGCACCCGCATGGGAAACCAGGAGAAGCACCTGGCCTCTGGCTTCAGATTAGCGCAGTACACCAGCCCAGCAGCCATTGGCCATTGGAGGGTGAACCAACAGCAAAGGAAGACCTTTCTCTCTGTCTCTCTCTCACTGTCCACTCTGCCTGTCAAAAAAAAAAAAAAAAAAAAACAAAAAAAAAAAACAGGATACTAGTCTACTATTCTAGACTTTCCTTTCTACAGAAATACTTTTTTAGGGGAAATAAAGAGTACATATGTAGTTAACTCTTTGAAATTAAGAACTCTTGCCTCACACTTTTAATTCAGAGCAGTGACCTGTGGTGAGATACGATGGACGTAGCAGTGAGACAAAGGAAATTTAACCAAATCCTACTTTTGCTTTGTATACAGTGATCACCAGCAACTTGCAAAACTCATCCAGGAGTCGCCAACCGTTGAGCTCAAAGAAAACTTAGAGTGTGAACTAGAGGCATTAGTGGGAAGGATGGAGGCGAAAGCAAACCAAATAACCAAAGTTCGAAAATACCAGGCCCAGGTAACTCAGTGTTCCTTTGCTCAAGTTTCTAATGATTGAAGGAGGGGAAAGCACAATTTTTCAAATATTTAATGCTGAGAGTTAAAGTGATGAGGTATTTGATTGTGGAAGGTAGTTACTGAGTTCATGGTTAAGAACTGGTGTTAAAAGGGGCCAGTGCTGTGGCATAGCCACCACCTGCAATGGCAGCGTCACATATGGGCGCCAACTGTGATTCGAGTCCTGGCTGCTCCACTTAAGATACAGCTCCCTGCTAATGGGCTGGGAGAGCAGTAGCAGAGGCCCAAGTGCTTGATCCCCTCCCTGTGCACACGTGGGAGACCCAGAAGCAGCTCCTGGCTTTGGATCTGCTCAACTCTGGCCTTCTCAGCCATTTGGGGAGTGAATCAGCAGATGGAAGATAGCTCCCACTCCTGTTCTGCCTCCCTGTATACATAAATATTAAAAACATATATATAAAAGAATTGGTGTTAACTGGTGTTAGTCACTGATTTTATCTAAGATATATTTTTTAAATACAAGACCACTTGATTTCTTGGAAAAACACAATTAAAAGAAATTTTTTTGGTGCAGAAAACAATATAAATCTGTGCATCCATAGGATGTTCAAAAGCTTCATGGAAAATGAATATTTTGAAATGACTATGCATGAATTTCAAAATTATTCTGCACCAAAAAGAATTATCTTTTAATTCAATTTTCCAAAAACTTTTTAAAGACCTTTGTACTATGTAATCTTCATGAATAAATGAGATGAATTTAAATGGTTCTGAGTTTATCCACATTAAATCTTTGGAATTCATAGAAGCTCTGAATTTCCATAGGACAGCAATGTACGTAAGTGAAAAACTTAATTGTATTAGTTACCCATTAAACTGCCATTTATTTGGTGACTACCAAGTGCAGTAGTGAAGTCACTCCAGGCTTTCCAGCCAAGGTGACAGTACTGTTATTGCTGGGGGTAATGGATTGGGTCAAGGTTGCGAGGCTGAGAGACCAGCTAGACTGTTAGGCTTACCAGGGGTGGTTGTCATTGGACCAAGACATTGTAAGATAGACACATTTGACGTATATAGAGAGATTTGAGGTGTGTTTTGGAAGGAGGAGTATCAAGGCTATTTGCTGTTAGATATATTGTAGAAGGAGAAGAATTACTGTAAATAATGGTATCACTAACTGAACAAACACAACTGCCATTTATTTATGAATAGCCATATGATAGGTATAAGGCTGAGTGCTTTGAGTATCTCGTGTTTCATTTTAAATGAAAAGTTTGTGATTTGGGTGTGTTATCTCATTTGTAGATGAGGAAGACAGGGTCAGATTTTCTGGGAAGAGGGCATATATTCTCAGTGAAGTAACTTGATCAAGGACATACTAAGCTCACTTGTAGAGCTTTGGTAGAGCTAGATACCCCCCAAATTGCTGCAATGACCATGGCTGGGTCAGGCCAGAGCCAGGAGCTTCTTCTAGGTTTCCCATATGGGTTCAGGGGCCCAACAAGTTGGGCTATTTTCCACTGCTTTCCCAGGGGCATTAGCAGGGAGCTAGATAGAAATACCAACTGGGTTTTTGGATTCAGAAGGCTTCCATAGTGTAGTCAGCTCATGTCAAGAGCCTCAGGTGGTCACTGATGTCATATATTGAGTGTTAGTGCACAGTGATTCCTGTTGTAAATTAACTCCCCATGCAGGACATCTGTCCTCCATGAGTTGTATTATGAGAGTTAACTGTAAAACTAGTTCAGTTTTTGTGTGTGTGCATGTGTTTGTGCAAATTGTTGAAATCTTTGCATAGGGTTTTTCTGTGTACAAAGTTAATTGAAAATGAATCTTAATGGAGAATGGGACTGGGAAGGGGAGAGGGAGGAGGAGTGGGAGTAGTAGAATCACTATATTCCTAAAGTTGTACTTAGAAAATTTGTATTCCTTAAAAAATTAATTTTTAAAAAGCAGAGCAGTGGGGATTCAAACCAGTGCCCACGTGGGATGCTACTGTCACGGCGGCAACCTTAACCCCTATACCATGCCAAACCCTGAAACTTGAATTTTTCTGTGTGTGTGTTGTGTGTCTGTCAATGATTTTTTTGTTATTTTTTATTTAGTAAATATAAATTTTCAAAGTACAGTTAATGGATTACAGTGGCTTCCCCCCCCCATAATTTCCCTCCCACTCACACCCCTCCCATCTCCCACTTCCTCTCCCATTCCATTCACATCAAGATTCATTTTCAATTATTTTTATATACAGAAGATCAATTCAGTATATATTAAGTAAAGATTTCATCAGTTTGCACCCACACAGAAACACAAAGTGTAAAATACTGTTTCAGTACTAGTTATAGCATTACTTCACATTGGACAACACACTAAGGACAGATCCCACATGAGAAGTAAGTATACAGTGACTCCTGTTGTTGACTTAACAATTTGACACTCTTGTTTATGGCGTCAGTAATCTCCCTAGGCTCTTGTCATGAGTTGCCAAGGCTATGGAAGCCTTTTGAGTTTGACGACTTCGATCTTATTCCAACAGGGTCATAGTCAAAGTGGAAGTTCCCTCCTCCCTTCAGAGAAAAGTACCTCCTTCTTTGATGGCCCCGTTTTTTCCACTGGGATCTCACTCGCAGAGATCTTCCATTTAGGTCTTCTTTTTTTTTTTTTTTTTTCCAGGGTGTATTGGCTTTCCATGCCTAAAATACTCTCATGGGGTCTTCAGCCATATCCGAATGCTTTAAGGGCTAATTCTGAGGCCAGAGTGCTGTTTAGGACATCTGCCATTCTATGAGTCTTCTGTGTATCCCGCTTCCCATGATGGATCGTTCTCTCCCTTTTTGATTCTGTCAGCTAGTATTATCAGACACTAGACTTGTTTGTGTGATCCCTTTGACTCTTAGACCTATCAGTGTGATCAATTGTGAACTGAAATTGATCATTTGGACTAGTGAGATGGTACTGGTACATGCCACCTTGATGGATTGTATTGGGATCCCCTGGCATGATTCTAACTCCACCATTTGGGGCAAGTCCTATTGAGCATGTCCCAAATTGTACATCTCCTCCCTCTCTTATTCCCACTCTTAATTTAACAGGGATCACTTTTCAGTTAAAATTTAAACACCTAAGAATAATTGTGTGTTAATCAGGACATACTACAGTGCAGTTGTTATCAAAACAGCATGGTACTGGTACAGAAACAGATGGATAGACCAATGGAACAGAATTGAAACACCAGAAATCAACCCAAACATCTACAGCCAACTCATATTTGATCAAGGATCCAAAATCAATCCCTGGAGTAAGGACAGTCTATTCAATAAATGGTGCTGGGAAAATTGGATTTCCACGTGCAGAATCATGAAGCAAGACCCCCACCTTTCACCTTACACAAAAATTCACTCAACATGGATTAAAGACTTAAATCTATGACCTGACACATCAAATTAGTAGCATTGGAGAAACTCTGCAAGATACAGGTACTGGCAAAGCCTTCTTGGAAAATACCCCAGAAGCACAGGCAGTCAAAGCCAAAATTAACATTTGGGATTGCATCAAATTGAGACGTTTCTGTACTTCAAAAGAAACAGGAGAGTGAAGAGGCCACCAACAGAATGGGAAAAAATATTCACAAACTATGCAACAGATAAAGGGTTGATAACCAGAATCTACAAATAAATCAAGAAACTCCACAACATCAAAACAAACAACCCACTTAAGAGATGGGCCAAGGACATTTTTCAGCAGAGGAAATCCAAATGGCCAACAGACACATGAAAAAATGTTCAAGATCACTAGCAATCAGGGAAATGCAAATTAAAACCACAATGAGGTTTCACCTCACCCCAGTTAGAATGGCTCACATTCAGAAATCTACCAACAGTAGATGCTGGCGAGGATGTGGGGAAAAAGGGACACTAACCCACTGTTGGTGGGAATGCAAATTGGTTAAGCCACTATGGAAGTCAGTTTGGAGATTCCTCAGAAACCTGAATATAACCCTACCATTCAACCCAGCCATACCACTCATTGGAATTTACACAAAGGAAATTAAATTGGCAAACAAACAAGCTGTCTGCACATTAATGTTTATTGCAGCTCAATTCACAATAGCTAAGACCTGGAACCAACCCAAATGCCCATCAACAGTAGACTGGATAAAGAAATTATGGGACATGTACTCTATAGAATACTATACAGCAGTCAAAAACAATGAAATCCGGTCATTTGCAACAAGATGGAGGAATCTGTAAAACATCATGCTGAGTGAATTAAGCCAGTCTCAAAGGGACAAATATCATATGTTCTCCCTGATCGGCGACAACTGAGCACCAAAGGGGAAACCTGTTGAAGTGAAATTGACACTATGAGAAACAGTGACCTGATCAGCTCTTGTCCTGACTGTTGATGTACAATGTAATACTTTATCCATTTTAGTATTTTCTCTGTTTTGTTCTAGTGCTATTGGTTGAACTCTGTGATTAACACACAGTTATTCTTAGGTGAAACTTAGATTTTTAAGTACTTTTTCCATAGTTCATGTTCAAGAAAGAAATACAGGCTTGTTTCTGTAGGGAGTAACAGTCTGACCTGTTCTTGTACATTGGACTTGGTTTTATTTTCTCAAAGGGAGCACCAACTGCTAGCAGCAGTTGAGCTAAAGTAAAAATGTTTTCCTACTTAGTTATTCTTTAGTAAATGGATTGAGTAAAATTTTTAGTAGTAATTACCACTGCATTTCCTCATCTGGAATTTGCTCAGACTCAAGACTTAGTTTCTACCATGCCTTTCTCCTCACCTTCCTGTCAGAATTCTTCCTGTATGTTTTTCCATGTCTGATTTTTTTGCTACTTCCATGAATCATCTCCCAAGTCATACCTTGTCTTGTTTTTCAATCAATTCTGCATTTGACAACAACACTATTTTAATTTTGATGCTGGCTGTATCATAAAACTCTTTACTGGTGTGCATATTGTTGTGTATTTGAGGGTAGAATGTTAAATGGTGTTTACAGATTTTTGAATCTTTAAAATAGTAAACCTAGAATATATTAGTTTTGTTTCAGGTCATTATGGGAGTTATTTTCTAAAAAGGTACTGACTGTAAGAAAATGTTTTCCTAATTGTTAGAAGAAAATGTTTTTCTTTTTTTTTCCCTGCATTTTTATTTGGTGTAGCTGGAGAAACAGAAGACAGAGAAGCAAAAGAAGGAATTAAGAGCCACAAAGAAGACCCCTGAAGAAGAAGGAAGCAGTAGCAACCGTTCTGGAATCACAGGGAACACAAATAAGAAGGATTATACCAAATTGAGACCTGGAGAAAAAAGCAGAAAAAATCTTCAGTTATTGAAGGACATGCAAACCATACAGAGTTCATTACAAAGTGGTGATTTGTGTTGGGATTACTGACTATCAGGTCATAAATTTTATTCGGATAATACGTACCTCCTCAATCAGATGTTGACAATTAATTTTCCAGGTCACATACTATCTGATGTTGAAATTAGTTAATAGCAAGTGTTAAGAGGCTCACACTTCATACATAGACTGTGTGTGTTTTTTGCAGCCTCACTAAATGTTAACCATTTCCGTGGAAGCCAAGGGAATTTTAAAGTTTGAGAAGCCACACAGACTGTTTCTTTGAGATGAATTTGCTGTACTCTGATACATTGTACTTTGTAAACACATTACCAGTTTTTTACTTGTGGGTGTGATTTTTAAAATTAGTTTTTATATATAAATAAAATTGGGTTTAACTTTTTAAAAACAAGTGGCTGTCTCAAAGGCAGTGTTTGCTTAAAAATTCTCATTTTTTAATCTTTCTCTGACAGAAATTGCCCACTTCCTCTTTCGTCTAGAACCATTAGTATGCTTTAACTATTTGATGACATAGTTCTTATATTTAAATATTTATATATTTAAAAGAATTGTTTTGGTTTGCTTTTGGCACTTCATTTGATCCATTGTGATCAAACATTGATCAATATTAAATGCATTTGTATTGCTTTTTAATTGTTTAAAATTTTTAAAGTGTAGTCAGTTACCTGTAAAAATTAGTAAAAGTCTTATTAATAATATAAACTGTGAATGAAATTTTAGAATAAAGTGACAAATGGGAGAGAGAAAGGAGATGTGAAGCATACTCATATGCTGTGTTTAGTAACTTTGTAATCATGTTATTTAGTCAAGGTATTGTGGTTTTTAACCTTGGAACTTAGAGAACCCCTTGAATATCTGGGTTTTTTTTCATATATAGAGTGCAATATAAACTGTACACACAATTATGTTAATGTAAGTCATAATTTTAAGTAATTTTTAGATTTAACATTTTATAAGATTGCCACTGAAGTCAGTGAAATAGCTTCTTTAAGGAAACAAACTTTCCTTAACAATCTGTTAATCTGTTAATAAAGGCTTCATTTATTGTAAACTTTGAAAAGTGCATGTCTAAATAGGACAGCATCATGTTGACTGAGAAACAGTAAGAATATATAGTATTTATTTGCCATTCTTATGTTTACATGTAAGTTTATCACCAACAAAATTATCTCATCCTTGTATGGTAGGGTATGCTAATGAAAACATTAGCCACCTGTAAAGAAATTCTTAAATGCTTTTGCTGAAGTTTGTTAAGATGAAGTTTTAGGATGACAAGCATGAGCTGTGTGACTTCTTGGGCACTGTAATACTCTTGTTCTATTTTCTAGGGTTAGAGCTGTTAACTTAGCATCCTGATTTGGCAGGATTTGTGAATTTCCTGAAATTACACATAAATTTTGCCTGTGTGTATGATTTTCTGATGAGCAGGTTTGCAGCTTCATCATATCCATAACAGGAGTCCGAAGGTGAGAATCATTACTCTGGTGACCTGGTAAATATTTCTCCTGTTTTCAGCTGTTAAACTTTTGTCATCTCCTTGTTTGAATTTCAGGTCATTAAATTGTCTAAAAGTCATTTGAATTGTAATGGCTCAAAGTTCTAATTAGAAAAGTAAGTAGTTGGTACAAAACACCTCATCTCTCAACTAGAATTAAAACTGAAATAACCATTCTAGCTTTTGATATTTTTTTAAGACTTTATTTGAAAAGTAGTTACAGAGAGAGGGAGAGACATAAAGGTCTTCCATCCACTGGTTCACTCCTCAAATGGCCACAACAACTGGAGCTGAGCCAGTCTGAAGCCAGGCGCCAGGAGCTTCTTCCAGGTCTCCCACACAGGTTTAGGGGCCTTAAACACTTGGACCATCTGCCACTGCCTTCCCAGGCCATAAGCAGAGAGCTGGATCTGAAGAGGAGCAGCTGGGACACAACTGGTGCCCAAATGGGATGCTATTGCCTCAGGTGCAAGCTTATAGCCCACTATGCCACAGCACCAGCCCCACTTTTGATGCTCTTGAGGTGAGAACTGAAAACAAGAAACCTGCTACCATTTTATTTGAGAGTTTAAATGAGTATGTTGTAGTCTGACCACTTACGTTGTATCAGAGCTTTATTGCAGTGCATTTCAAATTTATCTTCTGTGTGAAAAATGCCACGAATACAGTATGTTTACAGGCTGGTGGAAGACATCTGTATTGTTTGTCAGTATAGTACATTTCATTGCAGTGCTGACAGTCCTGTACACTGTGCTGTTGAGGTGCAGACAGTAGAATTTGCAGAGGAATGAGGAGTCAGACAGGTATAACCTCATCCTCTGGGAACCTAACATCTAGAATGGGTAGGGAACCTTTTTTCTGCTGGGGGCCATTTGGTTGATAGAGACCATACAAAATTACCAACTTAAAAATTAGCCTGCTAGATCTATTGAATTATGAGTCCACCTGCAGTTACCTTGGTGGAGTCCAAGCAAATGATAAGGTTGGACATTCCCTATCCCTGATATAGAGATTAGGAATCAGTCATAAGGGAGTCAGGAAGCTGGAGTTTACATGGGGTATTGGTGAATAGCAGAGTACTATTGGTGAGTAAAAGGTGAGGGGGTAGGGGTAGGCAGAGATTAGGTCTCAGGGGGATTAAGGAGCTTCAATTTGATACTCATCTCAATGAGTATCACTACCAGTTCAGAGCTACACATGAAGTTGTGAAATATTTTATCTATACAAAAGTTCTAGAGTTCCTTTTCTCCTCCTATGCATAAAGCCATGAGTCATCTTAAATGCTCCAGTGCATGAAGATTCCCTGCATAAGGTGAGAGAAACCATGGTAAGGTTTTGAACAGTGAAATGATAGGTTTGCACTTAGTTTTCTCTAGTTTTTGAGTGGAATTTAAAGTGGATGTAAGCGTACTATGACCAAAAGCTTGAAATCTACATTCTTTTATGTTGTAAGTGATGGATATGATAGCTTTAACACAGTAATCAAGTGACCAAATTTTTCCTTACAATAGATTTCACACAGCAACCAAATCATTTTGGTACTAATTATAATAATTATGTACTAACAAACTGTTCCCTCATTAAACAAGAGCAGGGCAAGGTTCACTCCACAAATGTCCACAACAGGAGTAGGCCAGGCTGAAGCCAGGGTCTCCCACATGGGTGGCAAGGTTACATGCACTTGAGTTATCATCTGCTTCCTCCCAGGATATATTAGCCAGAGCTGGATGAGTGCCAGGACTTGACCCACACTGCAACATGGGAGAGTTGTGGCCTAACCAGGTATGCCATCATGCCCTCTCGAAAATACGCTTTTGTTATGTGAGTGTGAGAGGCAAAATGGGTTCAAATTGAACATTTCTGCCTAAGACTATATATGTGATATCTTAAGGCAAAGAACTATCCAAAAAGATCAAGGGACAAGAAGCTTCTTTGTTACAGTATATAACAGCTTTTATCTAGAATAAAACAGACAAAAAGGAGTCAGAAACTCTTGTAGCAGGGAAACAGTGAAGATTTCCTTTACTGTTGTCGAGATTGTAATACATCTTTATTCTGGCAATATGTTCTTTGGTAAATTTAATCATTTATTGGATTTACATTATTTGCAAATAAAAAAGTACTAAAATATTTCATGTAAAATTTGAGCACAGTACTTACCTTAGTCAATCCTTTTACATTTTTTAATTAGTGTCCAGAAACCTACCACTTCGCTTCTGTTGTGTTTACACACAAAAAATTAAAATATATTCTGTGTTATTTCTGGTAATTGAAGAGTGTGAACCTTTTTTCCTTTATCCCTCTGCCCACCCCAGCCCCAAACACATCTATAAGGCATCATTTTGCAATAGCTTTCTAGTACATTTTAAGTAAATATACAAATAATATCAGCAGTAATTTTAAACTGTAACTATCCATAATGTCCTGAAGGTTTTTGCTTTGCACTATACAAAGAATGTGAATGGCAGTTGAAAGGCCATCATCAAAATGTTTCAGTTACTACCAAAAAGAATAAACCTATGATAGAGAAAGGGCTATCAGGATTTTGAGGCCCAATCTATATGAACAATGAGCTCTCACCCATCAAGAGGTATTTTCTAAAGTGACTTTTATTAAGACAGAATCTTTTAAAATTTGCAGGATTGAAATCTTAATTTTTAATATTAGTGTCCTGTGTAATTGCACATAAGCCACCTGTGCTGCTACAGGTCTAAACTCACCCTAAAGAGATTTAAAATAAATAAAAGCAACAAAACTTTATCTCATAGATAGGTCTTAAATACGGAAGACAATCTCATAAAGCTGCCACTGTCATAACTTCGAAGCAGTGACGCCCCCCCCCCCCCCAACTTAACAGTCCTTTCACACAACAGTTTGAACAGGAGTGACACACTGTGCAGGAGAGCTGGCTCTCTCTGATGATGAGGTTGATCGGTTGGAAATTTCTCTCTGTAGTTCCTCTACTTTTTTCTGAAGCTCTGCACGTTTAGCAAGAAGTTCTTTATATCTGTTGTGAATAGGTTCCTAAAAGAACAAGATGATTTCAGTGAGGCAATCCTGAGCAAATCCCATAGTCAGATCATTCTGGACCACCCTCCCTCACCTTTCCAATCCATCAGCGGACATTAAATTCCAGGACTATTGCTGGTAGCTTTCCCAGTGTGCCCAAGTATTCCCAGACAATACCCAACTGTCTAAGTGCTCTTGAACCTAGTACTATACCAAATACAGTAATTGCGAGACAATGTTCAGAATTCCCTGTAGTTGCCTACTTTTAGTCTCAGCAGTTCTAAATTGTAAACATTTCACAAGGACTAAAATGTTATTAGGTATTCAATTTTCTTAACCCTGTCTGCTTCATCTTGTTGAAATAAGACCCCCTAAAAGTTATCTAATACAATTCCAAGATTTAATGGGTAGGAAGGAAAGCTGTAAATATCTACAGATAATTTTTCCAGTTGGTTTAAAAAGGCTCAAATTTAGAGAAGTTGCACTGCATGGATGGGTGTTTGCATACCTGTGGTTTCATCCGTGGATTCCACCTTATGTAGTATCCCACCCAGAGCTCTAGGTGGCGCATGCTGGCTACTGGATAAAGTACGTGATTGGAATAGCTCCCATAGAGAGGATTAGTGAAGTCTTCCAGCTGGCTATTTATGTAAGACCACAGTGACACAGTCCTTCTAGGAAGATTCTGTAAAAAGCAAAAACGGGTAAGGATTTTCTACCATACAAGCTACTTACATTATAGGTGAAATTTTAACATTTTGTGGTCCTTCATCTCTTTGGAGGGAACAGACTTGGACATTTCACTGATAAACCCACTTATATTAAAACAACAGTAGTAGAATACCGTCTGCCCACTCTTGAGAGTTAACAGTTACCATATGACCCAGCAAACCTAAGATGTATGCTGGTACGAGAGCTTTTATCACAGATGTTGAAAGCAGCATCATTCATAAAAGCCCAGAAGTGGAAGCAACACTAGTCTATCAACTAATCTGTGTAATGAAATAATTATTTTTAAAAGGATATGGACTGTAATATGGGTGAGCCTTGAAACACTGTAAGTGGAAGGAGCCAGACACTAAAGTCACATGGTGAGTGATCATATTTTTAGGAAATTTTCAAAAAAGGGTTAATGTTTTGTCAATAGCTGGGAGATTAGGAATAACTAACAGGTATAGGCTTCTTTGCACAGCTTTACAGATACCATTTTTAAACCACTGTACTGTTATTAGAGTAGACTTTACAATATGAAAATTATATTTGAGTAAAAACTTTTAATTAAAACAAGACTGTTAAAAGATGAAAGTATCTTATTTTTCAGAGTTCATACTATGATTGGAAACAGTTACTGCATGTCAGACACTGAAAAAGTTTAAAATTTTGAGACCTGCCATCAAAGGAACTGAAAATTTAGAAAGCACTTAATAAGTTTTCCTTTATTTAGTCTTTGCAATAGTAAGTACTATTAGCCTTATTTTATAGAATTAAAAATTTACTCACCCAGGGTTATTTAGTGACAGATTTAAGACTGCAGCTCAATATCTGGACTTAAGCATAGTGGCAAGCAGTTCTTACACTTTTCTATAAAATGAGAGTACACTGATTCCTTAATAGTGATATCTCTGGGGAAATGGGGTACTGAAAAAATTTTCTACATGTCATTTCAGTGCTAAGCTTGAGTCATTTGTAAGAAATGTCTCATTTAATGCAGACTATATCTTCAGATTTGAGCTGCCCATTCAAGTGTATAGCTTCTGCTAAATATACTTTCTGCACCTGCTTTCAAGGATTTCCATCCTGCATAAAGTAACAGATACACTGATCACCACTTACTCCACTTCTCTTTAGCAGACAACACTCCATGCATCAAGTCAGACAGTAGTGAATACTTCCAGCCCTGTGACAGAGGCACTTCAACACAGTTCAGGTCAGATATTTGAAAGGAAGTAATCACGTTATAGCATGTAAGATAAAATATGACCCAACATGTCACTCAAAAGAATGTCAAGTTGAAATGTAAAGATGGAATTGTGGGGATGGAGTAGGGTTACAGCTCACATTTTACCTCTTT